CTCAATCGGATGGCTCAGTGATTTCCAGGATGAGATGATTTCCTGTGATTTCTTGAATTTCTTTTATTTCTAAATAAGAATCACAAATAATGATTTCTTTTGATTTTTCGTGATTTCCATGATTTCTAGTGAATTCAGATGATTTCTTGATTACAAGAAATCACTCGAAAAATCATGATTTGGGGTCAAAGTGGAGCATCTGTCGATAATCATATACGGGTGCGATTCAGGAAACCGAAGAGTTTAGAATATTAGGTGTGTAATAATGACTCTGCCCTTTCCCAACAGATGTCGTTTTTAGTATTGCTTACGTGCACTAATTAAATGGCAACATTTGTATTCGATAGTACTTTATGTCAGCTGTCAAACGCACTACGTGACATTTGGTTGAAATGTAAGCAACAAGTGTTTTTACCTCCGTGACAATGTCGGTTTTCGTTCCAAGTAAACATTTGCGGGAAGTGTTATTACACTATTATATTGCAAAGAAAAGTGTAGCGGAAACTCATCTTTGGCTTGTGAAGATATACGGTGAGCATGCTCCATCTAATACAACTTGCAAGGAATGGTTTCGATGATTTCAAAATGATGATTTTGGCACTGAGGACAGAGAACATAGAAAACCACCAAAAAAATTTGAAGATGCTGAATTGGAGGCATTATTGGCACAGGATTCTTGCCAAACTCAATCAGAATTGGCTGCAGCATTAAATGTTGAACGATCAACTGTTGCAAAGCGTTTAAAAGAAATGGGAATGGTTCAAAAAGTTGGTGTACTGGGTTCCATATGAATTGAAAGAAAGAGACATGGAACGTCGAAAAACAATTTGTGAAATGCTAGTTCAAAGACAACAAAGAAAAGCATTTTTGCATCGAATAGTCACAGGAGATGAAAATGGATATATTATGAGAATCCTAAACGCCAAAAAGCTTATATGAATTCAGGTGAACCCGGCCCATCCCAGCCAAAAAGAAATATTCACAGTGCCAAGTTTATGCTCTGCATTTGGTGGGAACAGAGAGGTGTTGTATATTATGAGTTGCTCGAACCCTCTCAAACTATTAATGGAGAACTTGACCGACGACAACTAATGCGTTTGAAGCGAGCCATAGAAGAAAAACGACCAGAATGGGTGAATAGGCACAGTAAATTGATTCTTCAACATGACGATGCTAAACCGCATATCGCCCAAGTTGTGAAAAGATATTTAGCTGGACAGGACTGGGAAGGCTACTCCACCCGCCATATTCGCTAGACATAAGTCCTTCGCATTACCACTTATGCCAAACACTGCAGTCAGATCTTACGGGAGAACGATTCACTTCATACGAAAGTATCAAAATTTGGCTTGATAATTGGATCAGCTCAAAAGACCAGGATTTCTTCAGGCAAGGAATACGTAGATTACCTGAAAGATAAGCGAAGGTTGTAGCTGCAGATGGAGCATACTTTCAATAAACTTTTCTTTAATTTTCTAAACAAGTAAATGTGCTTTATTTGAACAAAAAAGGGCGGAGTCATATTCACAAACCCAATAAATCCGGAAAAGTAATTACAAAAAAGCTCAAATTTTGGCTCATAGCTGGAACTAATGAAACACAAATCTGTGCTAAATTTTAGCCCAATTGATTAAGTAGTTCCTGAGATATAGCGATTTCTCAAAAATGTTTTTTTTTTGCAAATATCTATGGAGTGACTGGACCAATTTCATTTTTTTTTCCAAAATATTTGTTGTGTTGAAAGTTGAGTTTTATTGTCATTTTTTTCATTTTTTCGACAAAATCGCTTCTTACCACGATAACTTGAAAAATAATCGAGATAGAAAGTTCAAACTTTGCACGATTTTAACCCGTAAAATACTCAGATCGTTAATAATTGAAAGCAGAGACCGATGTTCGTAGTTACAGGAACAACTAGACCGATGTTCGTAGTTACAGGAACAACTAGACCGATGTTCGTAGTTACAGGAACAATGACACTGGATTGCTCGAAAATGTAACGACAGTGCCATCTTTCAAATAGTGATCAGTCAGTGATATAGGAATCAACATCAAGTTAGAACTAGAACCCCCTCTACTGGGTTCCCACTTTGTCGTAGTGAGGGGGCTCGGTCGCGGGTAGTGGAGGTCTTAAGGACTACCGTTGCCCGCGGTCGCTAAGAGGAGTCCACCCAATCCATGTGTGTGGGCGGCGTAAGCCATGGCCTCGGCCATACCGTGCCTGAGGATGCGTGGCACAGAGGGAACTGTGTCGCTAACGGTGCCTCTCAGAAACCTGGGCGACCTCTGAGAGTAGTCTTGGGTGTAACCCACCCGAGACAAACCAAGCCATGGGCAATCGCGGCAATGCACCAGGTGAAAACGCGAATCTATCACGCAAACACTTAGGAGAAAATTAGATCTTGCATAGTTATTAAAGGACTAGACTCTTTCTTCTGTTTACAGGCTAGTGAGGGAGACCTGGCTGTGGCACAAGTGGATCTGGGCCTGGGACAAGGCGAGGAAATGAGCTTGGTTGTAGGGTTAGTTTACATGCCCTATGACTCGGCTGAACCACCTCCTTCGAAAAAAGTAAAGGACCTATGCAACCATGTGAAGGAAAGGGGACTTGAACTCCTGCTAGTTTGTGATGCCAACTCGCACCATGTAGCATGGGGGAGCACCGGCATTAACGGCAGGGGGAAAGCCTCCAGGAATTCATAATGGGGGCCGGTCTAAATATCCTTAATAGGGGGTCAGCACCTACCTTCATAGATCGGAGACGACAGGAGGTCATAGATATCACTCTGGGGACGGATAGAGTGGCAGACATGATTGGGGACTGGAGGGTCTCAAAGGACCTCTCAGCGTCCGATCATCAAACCATAAGAATGTCCATCCACACAGTGAAAGAAACGGAATGGGTGAGAAACCCAAGACGAACAAACTGGGGAAATTACCGAGAGAGTCTATCTGACAATCTCAGGGATATCATCCTCAGATTTAACAACAAAAAGCAGCTGGAGGAGGCTTCGATTGCCCTAAACCAGGCCATCATGGACTCCTTCGAGACAAACTGCAAGCTTATCCCGAAAGGGCAGCCCACTGAGACTCCTTGG